ATTTGGTGTGTGTGAATATTAACTAAAAGCACTCTGTATAGACCAGGGCTACTCAACTGGTGGCCCAGGGGCCAAATCAGGCCAACAGGTGTGCTCAATTCGAGTTCATTTTTAAATAAAACTAAACTTTAAATTGTAAAACAAATGTACTTAATGAGAATAACAGATGAATGTTGGGCCCCTGAACTCTTGGCTTTCAGTAACTGTGGCCCCCTGAGCACTTTCGTTGAATAGCCCTGGTATAGAATATCATATGTCCCGTCACGTTTCATGCCAGAGTTTTAAGCTAAAATAAAATGATCTAAATGAGATAAAGCAGTTAGTGTCCAACACTGCAATCCAGATGTCTTTTTTTTGTACGCGTGCTCATTTATCTGTCTTCTAGCAAAAGTCTTGTGCAACTTCAGATGGATTTTAATGAAACACTCACAAAGTAATCGATGGATTTCTGTCTATAGCTGATTTAGTTTAGAGCCACAATTCAAGATGACGGCCACAGACAGCTGAAATTTAAAAATAACTTATGAGGATTGTGTTTTCTTGTGTTTGTCTCCCCCTTGTGGTGTCCTAGCTTCGGCTTTCCTGTTTTCTCCCCTCATGTAACCAGTTCCTCCTCCTCCACCACCTGTTGTCTCCAGGTGTTTGTGTTCATCCCCTCGTTAACGTCTGTGTATAAGTCTGTGTCTCTGTGCTCTTGTCTGGGCATCCTGTTCGCGTCCTGTGGCTGCCTTCCTCCAGAGCTCATGTAAGTTTGCCGCTTTTGAATATATTAAATATATTCAATTCTACGTCCCGTTTCCGAGTCCTGCCTGAAAACGGTTTCAAAACACAAGAAACATAACATTTCTTCTTTTGGCGTCACAGCGAACCAACTCGCACAAAGACTTAACGATTGTTTTCAACACCGGATGCCCTTCCTGACGCAACCACAGACCACTGAGCTACCACAGCCCTCTGTGTGGAGCAGAGCGCTGCCATCTAGGGTGTCCAAGAGAGCAGATGGTGGAGGTTAAGGGCCTTGCTCAAGGGCCCAGAGTGGGGCAAATTAGTGTGGAAGCAGGTGTAGGTGCTGTACCTTTCACACCCTCATTTTGATGTTTCCAGTTCGGGGGGTTGAACCGGCAACCTTCCAATCACAGATTCACCTTCGCTAACCTCTGCGCAACCGCTCCACACAGAATTTAGAAATAACAAATTCAGTCAGCTGTATAAGTATTAAAATGAAAACTGTGGTAGTAGGTGAGAATGGTTTCCTAGCATGAGGGAGGGTCCAGTCCTGGTCCTTGAGGGCCCCTGTCCTGCACATACCTGGTTTAAATCAATGAGTGGGTATCAACTTTTTACAGAACAGGAAGAGTTAATTCAATCATTGATTCAGGTGTGAATCAACACCCTCAAGGACCAGAATTGGACACTCCTGTCCTAACACATTATTTGAGGCAAGAGGCAATCACGATTTGGAGGTCCCGGACCGAGGGCAGACAGACTCAAACTCGATTGTGGTTTACAGTGATCTATTTAGAGTACATCGAACAGTACTATTTACAAGGAAGCCTGGAACACCTGAGGAAGGAGGAAACCAGGTGAGTCCAGGACTATAGGAGAATGTTCGGCGAATCTCAGATTGTAGAACTACTACTGGAACGTGGAGACCTCGACATGATGTGGTTCCAGGTATATGTTGTTGGGCTGGTGGTGAAAAGGTGGCTGAGCTGAAGGTGAGTAAGGTTCCTTTGCAGGCATGAGGAGATAAATGAGGAATCCAGAGCAACTTCAGGAGGCAGGCACATACAGGTAGAAGCACTAGGAGCAAACAAGGTAAGTACTAATCTTTAGTTAGCAAACCAAGAGAAGGCTGATAGGCTCAACAGGCATGTAATGCTCCAGCAAGGAAGGAGCTCTGTCCTTTTTACTCCTGGAGCTCGTTAGGACGTTGACCCACAGCTGCTGCTCATTGGTGCCACCCAGGAACCAGGAACCTGTGGAGAAAGTGCAGTCCCTACAGAGACAAGCAATGTGCTTTCCAAAAGTTAAGCTACTTTCACTATTGTAGTTGTTTTGCTTCCAAGGGTCATAAAGCCTTTGTATGACTCATTTCGTGTAAAAGCTAATTAAGCCAAACGTTTTGGTTTTATAACACCTATAAAGTTTCATTAAGTAGCTATTTTTGGATGAAGAATCTGGTTAAGTCATGTCTGTGCTCTTACATGGCCAAAGCATTAAAAAGTCAGGGGTTAGCTTTGGTAAAATAAAATAAAAAGTAGCAACGAAAGAACCAGCTACTGTTCCAGATTTACCTGGTTCTTTGGGTTGGAGTGACCAGTTTTTCTAACTGATGTTAGTGAACATAGATGATAAAAAAGCTTCATTATGGAGCTTTACATGGATGTGTGAGAAGGAATAACTGAAAATAATACAATTTCCCATGTATTCATGAATTTTTTTAATGCCAATATGGGCTGGGAGAGTTTAGCCCTGATCGTTGTGAGGAGCAAGAACATCAGTTCCCCCCGAACATGATGCTGTCAAAGGCTCAGGGGGTTCATGTACTTATATCTGCATTGTCAGGTTCTAAAGTGTTTGAGATCTTCATTTTTTCAGGTACTAGCCTGAATAAACACACAAAAAGGTGTTGTTTTTTCTGTCACAGCGCATAGTTCGATTATCTACAGATAAAGTTACTTTGTACATTACAAGCATTTTGCTACTGCTTTTTTGTAGTAATTTTCTGTAAGTAGTAAATATGGCACTAAAATTGGTTTTCGTTGGTCTAAATGTTTTATGTTGATGAAAGTGGAGAATTTACAGGAGCATATGCCGAGGAATGAAAGCGTTTTACCAAAGCATCCAACACCTGATGCCAGCAGAGCTACTGCAGTTCCCCAGCAGATATTTTCTTCTTTTCCTTGTCAGCGTGACCTTGAGCTATGAAAGCAAAGTAAACAAGCCGTGTTACACAACTTATACTGTGTATAAAAGAGGACTGACATTCATCATCAGTGTCGACGCTGCTGTGCCTGGAGAAATGACGTCAATCCTAATTTGATTCTTTGTGACGGGCACGACTCCGGAGGGGATGTCTACTGTATCATGGAACTTGCTGAATAAAAAAAACAAATATCCCAAGGGTCTAAAATCGTCAGTAAATGCATTTAGAGATGAGCAAATATGATTTGAGATGTGCCATTTTGTTTCATTAACCTGCAAAGACTCTGGGGTTTGCAAAATATGCACCAGTTGTATCACCAGTCGAAACAAGATGGAAATGAAGTGGAAAGCCTGCAGTTATTACCAGAGATTAGACATGTCCAGTGTACTGGACTCTGCAAATACTGGGATGTTTTAAGCAGAACTGTGTTTTTGCACATGGAAGCGCTGAGTTGTGAAACAAATCCGTTTGCTCCCAGTAAATTTTATGGTGAAAGGAGCTGTTAGCAGTTTGACAATCAAGAGCTTAAAAATCCTAAACTTGACATTAACCCTTGTATTTTATTCTGGGTTATTTTTCTATTTAATCTGTTCACTTCATTGTTGAACCATGGGTCACTTCATGGCCACCGAAGAAGAGCAAAGTTTAGAAAATACAGATCAACAAGGTGAGAAAATAACTTCAGCTGTTTTAGTGACCTATCCATCCATCATCTTTACCCGCTTCTTTCTTTTTGAGTCCTGGGGGTCACTGGTGCCCATCACAGGAAGAGCCCATGTTTTTAAAACCACACTGATGTTGAATAATTATGGATATAACTGGTCCAAATCTGCCTATTGTCATTTTAGACGTGTATTCCAGCAGATTAAATCCTAAATGTAGGTACCTGCTGAGGTTGGTATGAAAACAGTTTTGCAAGCTGTGCTCACAAAATTATGTTGTTATAATAATACTGTTATTTCCAAATGCTGGCAATTCAAAATGCAGCCATGTAATTCACTTGGTTTTAAATCACTGTTGGATGCTCTAGCAACTACCTGATAACACTTCCTCCCCACTTGTGATGCCACCCACGTATGTCCTCTGGCGCTTGTTATAAATGTTCAGTCTCCGTGCAAATTAAAATAATTTACACGCCCCTTGCTGGTCTGGAGGTGCACCAGATTGGACCTTTTCTGTCAGCGAGCGTATTTACCACGTTCAAAACGAGATGATAAGAGACAAAGACACTCTGACGAATCACCTTTTGAGAGCTCTGAGAGGAAATGAGCTAACACCACAGTGCAGGCTCGCTGAGGCGATCAGGACGCCCTGCCAGCTCTTTCACAGCAGAAAGAACATGTCAAAGTTTCACTTTTTTTATCATCAGAGCACCAGCAGAAGCAAAGTTTTGTACAAAAATAAGAATTGGACCCTGCAACTTGTTTGATATTTTCCATGGAGCCAGACGTACCCTGGCCTGAATGCATGTAGAACTGTCCAGCAGCAACTTTTTCTAATGACCTGGATGTAGTTGTATTACAAAAGTGCCACGAGAGCTTTATAAGTGGTTCAAGCTTGTAGAGTTGCTGCATTTCACTGTATGTATTTTATGAAGTGGGTTTGCTGGAACTGAAATAAGCTTCTTACAGTCAGTTTTTAAAGTAATGGCATGAGTGTGTTGGGAGGACAAACTATGAGTTCTAGAGAAGTGTTTTCCCTGTTTGCACATGGACGTTTATATCCCATCATAAATTCTATTCTTTGCAGGGGCAGAGTCTGATTTAATGGTAAAATGTTGCTGATATACCATTTGAACTTTATAGTATTTCATTCCTGCAGTAAAGGCTTCAGTGATGCTCATGATTTAAAGCTTTGTTTCCACTTCCTTGTTTCTTCCAGTCTTATTTATCATAGTAAGGAGTGCAGTTAGTTCTTATTCGACGGCTTTGCCATCTGTAGAGACTATAAATTACACGTGTTTTGAGAATATTTTGTCACATTTGCTGTTTTAGCCCTGTTTAGTCCCCACACGTTAGTTTGCAATGATCCAATTAAACGCAAGGTTCATGTGCGCATGCGCCGTAAATGCAAAACAAGGAAGTAGTTTAGTTTTGTTGTTTTTTTTAACTCCGAATGAAAACACAGTAGCTGTGGCACCACCGAGGAGCAGCATAAGCAAAAAAATAAGTTGTAACGTGTTTATTTTACCTCACATAAAGGTAAGACAAGAAAATACTTTTAGATTAAAACAGTCGCGTTTATCTGTTTACAACATTTTCGTGACAAAACTTCTTGGAGGCTAATGCTAATGCTAATTATTAGGCTAACAACCAAAACAAATGAGCTCAATTCTTCATTTAATTAATAAAATCCATATTAATGTTTGTTTGCTGGCTAGGCGTGGCTCTGGAAATACTATACAGATCCTTTTATTTAAGCTACATTTTATAAACGTGCCCAAAGCATTTTATAAAGATAATAATCTGATTTTAAATCTCTCAAATATCACCAGGTTTTATTTAGAAGTGCTGCAAATGTACTTTTTCCCTTCTTTTGTTGATTGTTTCTTTACGTTTATCAAACTTTATGTGCAAAGCTTTTCATCTGTGGTTCAAACAAATTGCCCTGCAGGATGAACACACATTTAACTCAACAATAAAACATTAAAAATACATAAAAACACCTTTATTCTGCTAGGAACAGAAGTACAGTGGACAAAACACTTAGTAATACAATAAAAAAAACACATAAAAGACTAATGTATCAATATAAAACCAAATATTAAAATTAAAACTATGAATAGAAAGTGTATGCATTACTGTAATTATTTAAATATCTCTATTTTTCAAATATGCTAGTACTTTACCGCTGCTGCTATTTTCATGTTTTTAAACCTCTTGGGTGAATGTGTGATGTTTTTGACAATCTAAAATCCCCCGCATTAACAGGAACTAGGGTTTGAAGCAAATCACGTGTGTAGTCAGATCTGTGTTCCTGAGTCAGAAGACTGAATTATTTATTTATTTATTTGTCCTTTACATCAGCAGGGATATTTTTGAGGCTTCTTACCCAACTCTGTTTTTTTCAAATGTGACTAAAGTGAATAAACACACAAGTTTCAATAAACAGTATTTCAGAGCAGCTATCTTGGTCTAGATAACGAATCTAAATGAGTCAAACAGAAGGTAATTCATGTTTATATATATATATATATATATATATATATATAACTGAGAGTGATTTGTTTTTGGAATTGTGGAAAAACTCAAGTGAAGAATAATATACTGTTTAATTTCCTGCTCCGTTCAGATAAAATAAATAGTACCCCGACTGTTTCTGCTGAAGCCTCATTTTACTATAAAATCATAAATCAGAACTTCCCAGTTTGCTTTTTTACAATTTATTTTATGTTTCTTTGTCTTCACAGTGTACATGATTAAACTGGTGACACAACAGAAATAAAAAACGAGGGACAAACTCAAGTTCAGCTCTTTCATTTATTTTTGGGTGATCCGTCGAGGTTGTGCTGTAGTTTTTATATTTTTCTTGACAGCAGAACTTTAATAAACGGCAGCACTTTTGATGTTTCTCCATGTAAATTATAATTTTTACTCATATTTGGTTGGCTGATGAGAATCATGCTATAAGTCAACAAGCAGAGCTGCTTTTCTTGTGATGCCACTGTTGCATTAACAGTCTTTTGCATTTATATTTGTATGGATTGTTTTAGTTAATCTGAAGCAGATGGACCTCCTTTGAAGCTCAAACCAAACAATTAATACAATCACTGAATTGCAGACAGTTTGGAAGTTGGGGTGCACCGATAAATCTGATTTATTGACCCTAATTTCCTTAATTTTGGGAAATCGGCCAAGAGAAACCGACTTTACAGATATTTTTGTTTTAACAACAATTGTCTGAACTTCATTTATATTTCAGAGCACTACTTCATGGCCAGTTAAAACAAGTTTGTATTGTTTCTAGGATATTGTTCAAGGGTCTGTTTTCCATTAAAACAATATTGAAAAATTGAAGGTGCGTCCAAAATCATAATCGGCAGGTCAGACTTTTTAGAAATCGGTGATCGGCCAGAAAACTGCGGTCAGTGCACCTCTGTTTGGAAGGTATTTTGAAAGAGCACCTTTCTGTATTTTTCAGCTGGAAGCAACATGTTGGCTGCAGGAGTTTCCAACAAGGTCCAGTATTCACGGCTGGCTGCTGACGATGAAGGTTACATAGACCTGCAGGTGAGACCCTTTTAAATCCAGAAGAAGGATTCTGTTCAATAAGCTGAGTGCAACTCAGTGCTTCTCAATTATTTTCAGTTATGCCACCCCCACTAGGAAGAAGTAAACATTTCGCAGCCCCAACTCTCCACCGCATCTGTAAATAGTATCATTTATTTGTCTATAAAATTGTTAAAGTACACCTCTGCATAACGTTGTGTTCTTATTAACATTAAAGAAAACAGAAGAAAGATCAACTTGCAACAAAGGGGTGGGGGAGAGGCGGTCCTGGGGAACGTGCTCATAAGTGAAGAACCTGACAAGTTGTTTAATCACATAAAATATATTTAGTTTGCCAATAATAAAGTCCTAACATGCATTAAACATTACTTCTGTATTTACAGAAAACATCAAAATTGTGCTTTCACAAACTCGTCGATCAAAAAACATTTAATCAACGTGAAAGAGGAAAGGGGGGCAGGTGTCGCTCTCGCTTTGAGTTTATACTCTTTGTTGCGTGCGCGCTGTGGGTGACAAGTGTCCAGAGCGTCAAGAAAACAGCAGCGGAGGTGTCGGTGGATTTGTCGTCTCGGCAGCAGAGGGGAGCGACACGGTTCAAGCACGGCTCCCAAAACGATAAGACAGCCATATTTCTTCGTAACGTTATTATTAATAAGCCCAAGATTTGCTGGATTAGAGCAAACAGTTGCTGAACGCACCGTCAAAATGAGAGTGGTGCAAAAAAAAAAAGAAGCTTGTTCCCCGGGGTCACACGTGCACCTCCTGGCATTGCCCCGGCCCCTCCCAGGGGGCGCGCCCCACTATTTGAGAAGGACTTTTGTAACTGAAGGTTAACAGTATTGTTTTTTTAATCAGTAGAAATAAAAAGTATTAAAAGGTTCGCCTGTTTTCAGTTCATGAAGAGCCCACCAAAGATCCCGTACAAGGCGATCGCAGTGGCAGTGTTCCTGTTTATGATCGGCTCCTTGCTCATCGTCTTCGGCGCTCTTTTTCTGTCGGGAATCATCAAGATCGAGGTGAGTTTAGACCCACAGTCATATTGAACTTTCAGTCCATTTGTTCACAGAACATGAAAAGATACTGATGGGTCTCGAACAATTTGGTTTTGGAGGGAATAAAAAGTTGAGGTGCAGCTTTAAGACTGAAACCGTTGATTCGGTTCATGATTGCAGAAAGTGTATTTTTGATGTTGATCTGCCTCTTTTCTGCTCCGAGTGCGACTCCTGCCCGGAAGATGTTTCTCTCTATCTGAACTGTAAAAGCTTCATTTCTTTTTGCGTATGTTTGTTGTTTACGTGACCCTTCCAAAACCTCTAAAGGACAAACATCTCATCTGGATGTTGACGAAGAGGAAGATAACCCTTTCAGACATTTTGCAGCGTGTTTGCTTTTATCTTGCATGCCTGATGGACTGAGAGGCTCAAAACATTTTCAAAAGACATTTAAAGAAAGAGAGCAGCTTCCGTTGCTCTGTGCAAAGAGAATAAAAACATTTAGGCAAACATATAAACCACATATTAGGACTTTTTTTTTTTAGATCTAAAGAATAACCTTTTTATAGTCGTTTCAGTTTTGGACAATTCAAATGAATCAACTAAAAATGTGAATCCTAAATAAACACAGTCGTTAATTTAATCATTAGACTTCCTGCAACAAAGTGAACAATGGGCCTGTGTCGATGAGTTAACAGTCAGCAGCCTTTGATTGAATTAAGACTGAACTAATCTGAGGTAAAAGGTGTAAACTTGTTACTAAACTGACCAAATAACCAGCAGCTGCTTTTTGCACCGCGAGCAGCTGTGGCTCGGTTCTATAAAGACGTTTCAGTTTGCTCTAATAGACTTTCATTCCACAGGAGACTTTTTTTTTTTTCTCTTATCGTAGCAGGAAAAGCTCAGGTGAGGCAGAATTTAACGCCGCCTCAGTCCCATTACTTGACTCAGTGAGTCGTAACCGGGGGTGTGAGGTGTGTGTGGGGGGACCACACAACTCAAATATCCCTCACTTTTTCAAGCTACGTGAAATGTAGCTGTTTTAAAAAGTTTCATTTAAGCCTCTTCTTGTTCTTTTTGTTGTTGTTGTTCACCAAATCTGTTTTTATTTATGGAGCACATTTCAGCAGAGCCACTAAGTTTAAACCCCAAACTTTAAACTTTTTTAGTGGCCGAAGCAAAAATGTGTGTTTACTCGTGTTGCAGGGCCAGACTGCAGGCTGGACCTCGACTCGATGCCGTGGCTCTGTGGAAGTTCAACGTCAAGTTTTGCTTCCACAGAGACACTGGACCCCTGGAGAATTTTGTGAAACTGGGGGGATTTAAAAAGGTTTAACGCGCCATTTCTGATCAGGGAGAACTACGACACAACAAGCTCTCATGTACATATTTTATTTTAATATTGTCCTGATTGTGTTTTTAACATTATGTTAAATTATTGTGTAAATAAAGTGTTGTTAAAAATCAAAATCTTCTTTTTCTTGTACTTGTTGTTCTTCTTTTTGTACTTGTTGTTGTTCTTGTACTTGCTGTTGTACTTGTTGTTGTACTTGTTGTTGTTCTTGTTCTTCTTGTACTTGTTGTTGTCCCGGGAGGGCGTTAAGCATCAGACCTTCTACTTCTACCTTCAGACACATCATCCTATCTGACACTCTTTTCACCTCTACTACATTTTTTGTCAACTCCTCCTTCAGGACCACCCCTACTCCATTTCTCTTTCTATCCACACCATGGTAAAACGGTTTGAACCCTGCTCCAATGCTGCGAGCCTTGCTGCCCTTCCACTTGGTCTCTTGGACACAAAACATCTACCTTCCTTCTCTGCATCATGTCAGCCTGCTCTCTACGTTTGCATGTCATTGTCTCCACATTTAGAGTTGCAACCTTCAGTCTTATATTCTTGATTTTCCTCTTCTCCCTCTGTCTCCTGACACGTTTCTCTCCTCGTGGTCTTCGACTGAGCCTTTTTTTATGCAATCCATTATATTTATTCTGAGTACATCCCTGTTTTGAGCCATGTTTGAAAGATAAACTCTTTAAAACGTCCAATTCAAACATCACTTAAAACGCCAGTATTAGCGGTAAAAAGCTCCTTTGTTTTTTTTTTCCTGCTGTTTTCGTTTGTGCTTGTGCTTTTCCTTTTTTGTGCCTTCCCAACTACAACTAATGATCTGATTATTTAGCAGCAGCTTTAGCGCATCATTTGCTCTGGATTGTGTGGACATTTTTTGCTCCTTGAAAAAGTACTGGTACCTTTTGTACATTTTCACTTTTGGTCTTGTAATCAGCACAACACAAAGCACAACAAAGCAGTGCGTAATTGTGAAGCGGAAGGTAAATGATTTAAAGTTTTGAGCTTTTGAAAAGTGCAGCCTGTGCTTTGTAGAACGTTTCCTTCCACCTCCAGCTGCAAGTCTTTTAGATTCTGTCTCTTCAAGCTTTGTACATCCAGAGACTGAACTTTTTTTGTCCTGTCTTATTTGTTAAATCGCTTTAGCTCGGTCAGACTGGATGGAGAGCAACTAGACTTTGACTTGTCCATTCTAACTCATGAGTCCGACCCGGTCCATCGTAGCTCTGGCTGGATGTTTCGGATCGTTGTCCTGCTGGAAGGGGAGCAGTCGCCTCATTCTCAGTTCTTTTGCAGCCTCTAACAGGTTTTCTTCCAGGATTGCCCCATATTAGCTTCATCCATCTTCCCGTTAACCGACCAGCTTCCCTGTCCGTGAAGCAAAGCATCCCAACAACATGCTGCTGCCACCACCGTGTTTCATTGTGGCGCTGATGCGTTCAGGATGATGATGTTGCGTTTTGCATTAGTCTGACCCGAGCAAAGCAACTTCCTCCACACTTTTTCTGTTCCAGGACTACTTCTCACTTTTACTTATCTTTTTACCAAAGCTTTCTTCCTCTCGTCCTTAAAGGCCAGACTGGTGTGCTCAACTAATGGTTGTCCTGTGGACAGATTGTCTTCCCTGGGCGGTTGAGCTCTGCAGCTCCTCTAGAGCTACGTTGGGGCTTTTGAGCAGCTTCTCAGATTAATACTCTCCTTGAACTGGATGCTCATGTATCATGTAACAGTTTTTCTGTACTCTTTCCATTTTCTGACGTTACTTTAAACTTTTTAACAGCTTTATCAGTGACCTGTCTGGTGCGTTCCTTGCTCTTCATGATGCCGTTTGATCACTAAGGTTCTGTAACCGATCTCTGAGGCCTTGACAGAACAACTGGGTGAACTACACAGGAGATTTACTAAATATGTGACTTCTGAAGGCAAATGGTTTCTTGTCCTGAATAGTTTTACTATCACTGTATACTTTTTACTTTAGTCTTCAGGCAAAAAATAGTAAAATAGCATATCCAGTACTTCTAAAAACATTACAGGAGTTGGGCTAAAATAACAGTTTATTTTGTTCTGAATGCGTAAAAGACGTTTGAAACAAGGACAAATAAAACTCAAAGTATCAAGTAAAACGTGATCTTGACACAAGCTTCCTCCGTCTTCATGTTCCTGACACAGAAAGGGCATTTTAAAGCTTTAATGTGAACCAGAGGGAGTCGTGCAGCCACTCGGAGCACTGCGCTGCCATCTGCTGGTGGAATGAAGCCTCCGCATGAGTCCACTTCTGATTCACATGAAAGCAGACTACGATGGAGGGATGATGGAGGGATGATGGAGGGATGATGGAGGGATGGAGTGAGCGCGCTCGCAGCCTCACCCTTTCACAGCATTGATGCTGCGCTGGCAGGCAGCGTGGTGTTGAGCATGCTGACTCTGTGCAGTTCTGTCAATCCTCTAACATCACATTAGCAGAGGATGTAGTCCCGTCTACAATGTTTCTGTTGACATGGCGATGGGACATATTAGGGAAAGAACGATTTGAATCCCTCGCTTCAGTTCAGTTTATTTATTCAGTGCCAAGTCATAACAGAAGTCCTCAGGGCACTGAATGTATCACACACATGTACGTACAAAAAAACCATTAGTAAAAGTTTTCTATCTGAGGAAACTAGCAGATTGTGTTGAATCGTCACTTTGTTGCAGTCTCCCATCCTAAGCAAGCACAAAGGAGACAGTGGAACGGAAAAACTCCTTTTAACAGGAAGAAACCTCCAGCAGAATCAGGTTCAGGATGATCTGCTTCGACCGGCTGGTTTGAGAGGACGGGGAGGAACGGATGATCACAGAATGGCGCAGGTGTGGGTGCAGGGGTACCCCCTACTGGAAGAAAAAAAAAACATTAATACAAAAATAATTACAAATACAAACAGATCAAGTAAAGTCAGCAGCAGAGTGAGGGAATGTGTTCAGTTTGTCCTCCAGCAGTCTAAGCCTATAGCAGCAGAACTAAAGGATAGCTCAGGAAACCCAAGCCAACCCTAATTATAGGAATAATCACAGGGGTCTGCAACCTTTTTGATCGAAAAAGCCATTTCTGCCACTTCTCTCACTAAACAGAATGTCTGGAGCCGCCAAACCTGCTCATCAACTGGTGGCCCGTGGGCCACTGAGAGGTCGTTGGAGGAGGGCTCTCTGGCCGGTTGGCGGGACATTACAAAACTATATATCATGAATCTTTACATTTGTTGATACTTTTACTTTTTAGGGCAAAAGGAACAACCAAAAGTAGGAGAAAAGTGAAGATTTAAAATTAAGTACACCACTTTGAAGTACTAAAACGTAAATTTAAAGTGTGCAGAAAAATTAGGCATTTTGCTGGACAAGTTATTGATTTTATTTTTTGAGACTAGGATCCCACTGTAAGCATGGAGGTTAGATTAGTTAAATGTAATCAACGCGTTTCTCTCCTTGTATTAATACTGTAGTATCCTTCACAGGTTTACAGAAAATTGACAGAAAACTACATTTTCAACTACAAAACGAGCGTTTTTGGTTGTGGGTAAAAAAATAAAATAAAATAAAATATCACGTTAGTTTTGGTCAAAGCTTCAAAGGGCCACAGATGAGAGACTAAAGAGCCACATGTGGCTCCAGAGCCACAAGTTGCAGACCCCTGATTTATCAAAAAGGAAAGTAAGCCCAGTCCTAAACTGGACAACGTGTCGGCCTCACGGACAGAAACTGGAAGTTGGTTCCACAAGAGAGGAGCCTGAGAACTGAAAGATCTTCTCCCGTTCTACTTTTGGAAACTCTAGGAACCACAAGTAAGCCTGCAGTCTTAGAGCGGAGTGCTCTGTTGGAACAAAACGGAACAACAAGATTTATAATATAAGATGGACCTAGGTTGTTGAGGGCTTTACAATTGTGTAATTCTGTTCCCAGCATCCCGACCGCACCATCCCTGTCATCATCATAGGCCTGCTGGTTTTCCTGCCGGGATTTTACCACCTGAGGATCGCCTACTACGCCGCCAAGGGTTACCGAGGCTACTCGTACGACGACATCCCGGATTTTGGCGACTGACGCGCAACGTTCCCCCGAAACTGCTGAGAACTTTCTGAATGTAGCAAAAGCACAGGCTTGTGTTCGTCCTGAAGGGCTGCACGTAGTTTTGCCAATATATTGTGGATATATATATATATATGTAGTTTTATGTTTGATCCTGTTTGCTCTTGTTTCAGCCGTGCTTTATTACTCTCAGCACAAAAGCCTGGCTGACCTGGGAGAGTTGATCCTGCTTTATTAGCAGTGAATCAGTCGAGCACGCCGGAGCAGCTGCCGACTCGTTCTGTTACACAACTCGTCCCATAAATAATATTTTTTAATCACGTCTCAGCAGATGCTTTAAAATGACCGCTCCGAGTCACGGTAGCTTCACTGTCTGTTTTAAATATTTACATTAGATTGAGATCTTGTTTAATATTATTGTATTTTTGAAAACGGGGAATTGATTTTCTTGTTTTCTGCTCCAGCGCTGAACCTGCATCACAACCAAAGGTTTTTATATCTGCTCTTTTAAAAAAAATAAGTTACATCCTGTAGATTTATTTGCTTTAAAACATAATTTTTCTGACGGTGGTGTAATTTGGAAAATAAAGAACAAAATAAAACTGGAAACCTGACGTCTGACTTGTTTGTTTTGCAGGCGTAAATATGAAACTAGTGTTTTATTTATTTATTCCTTAGAATTTCCATTTTCTAGATAAAGGAACATTACACTATTAAAAAAAAGATAAAATATAGGAATATTAAAGATATTCCATAATACAATTAATATATGATGCATGTATTTATGTTTTTAGTTCTATTCACATGATTGTGTGTTTAAAAATATACAGAGAGATCTACTAAAATATATAAAATTAGTTTAAAAGCAAAAGTTTCTTTTGAATTTATTCTAAAATGTCAAAGTTTTATTTATTGTATGAACTTTTATTTATAGAAAACTGTGATTAATACCAGACTCTTAGAAAAAATAAAAAGTTGTTTTTTGCCCCCCCCAGAAAAAGTTTTAAAATACTGTCCTGTTTACAATTATATTAACAATCAAAATAAACAAAAAATCTGTTAATTTGATAATAATGTGTACTTGAATATTGATCTTGATCTGAAAAAATAAAATAAATATATACAATGCAGAAAAATAAAAATAAACCAAGATAAAGCAGAATAAAAATAAATTTGTTTGGAGTTAAACCGATATTTTTAAGTGCTAAATAAATAAAATAAGGAAGAGATGTTTTAATTCTTCTCAATATTTCTTAAGGAATTTAAAAATGTATTTCCCACAGAATGAGAACTGCTTGTTTGGGAAGGACCCCCCCTTGTGGTTCCTCTGAGCTGGGTCTCATCAGGAAACTGAAAAATAAACAACATTTGAGTAAATAAATAAATAAATAAATAAATAAAAAGCCATCATGTCACCCTGCATTAACAAACACCGGCATCAATCCACCAGAGGCTCAAACACTCAGCAGCTTAAGGTCCAACAGAACCCGGAAGTAGGAGCGACCTGAGCTGAGAGGAGGGGGCGGAGTCCCGAATGCGTCACCTGTACGTGAAATGAAACACCTGTGACCTGTGGGCTTTCACAGAGGAGGAAAAACACGCTCGACTTCCAGCTGCGCCGTTTTAAATGAAAGGAGCGAGGACACGAAACGAACGGACTAAAAGAAAGATGAGGACGTGTTGGTGAGGAGAAACAGCAGGAGGCGAAGCACAGGTGAGCTTAATGACGCACAGGTGCGCGTGAGAGCCCGCAGCTCCGAGAGAAAATCACCTGAGGGCGCAGATCCGAATCTGTTGGAACAAACTGAGTAAATTTAAACCTCAAAATTCAAACCAGCGTATTATTTTTACAACTTTTCATCTTTACAACATGTACCTTCTTATTCTTTCTGAACTCTTAACGTCAGGGCTTTAAATTTCAGAACCACAGTCCAGACCTGGACCCAGATCCAGTCTTATCTGGACCCAGATCAGATTATTGTAGGTGGTGCAGCTTTTTGTGTGTTTTTTATTTTTATTTTAGTTTTCTCAGCTTCTCAGTTCTGGACGGTTCATTTTAGTTTGTGGTGTATGAAGATAAATTAGTGTCAAAAGTATTCGTGTTAATTTAAGTGCATGTGTTTTAATAAAGAGGTCATGAGCTACGGCGCCAAGTTAGAAATGCATCTTTTTCCAATAACAGTAAATCTAGTAAGACTCAGATGTCCCAGCTTTTCACCAGCTTTGAACGCAGCATCACCTTGGTAAATTTGTAGGTAAAAAAGTCTCATGTTGTGACTGATTCACTCACAGCACGTGATGTGCGCAGATTATTACACGCGCATATTGAAATGTGTGTATTTGAAAAAACTGTTCATGAATCTTGTGATGCACTTTTGTAAAACTTGTGGATTTTATTGTACGCAAAAGACATGTTGTTGTCCGCTTGTGATTATTTTTTAGACTGATGTATCTTCTTAGTATGGAGCTAAATTAGTATCAAAAGTAGTTGTGTGTTAGTTTTAATAAAGCAGTTATTTAAGCTACTGTTACAAGTTAGACATTTCTTTTTCCCCACAATAACAGTAAATCTAGTAAGGCTCAGATGTCCCAGCTTTTCACTAACCTTGAACGCAGCATCACCTTGGTGAATTTGTAGTGGTGCAAAGGTCTCAAAAGTCTCATTCACAGGAAAACGATCCGTACGCTCGTTATGACCGATTCGCCCACAGCAGGTGTATTTGAATGTGCAGATTATTACATGTGCAAGTTGAAATGTGCACATTTGAAAAACTGTTTGTGAATCTTGCGATACGCTTTTGTCAAACTTGTGGTACAATTGTGGATCTTGTTATACGCAAAAGACGTCTTGTTGTACGCTTGTGTGACTATTTCTGATTTGTCTCCATCCTGCATTTACAGTATCTCATTTGACACTGCACAGTTTTTCTGTAATTTACAGTAATACATAGTGGCACTGCTTTTCTACGGCTTGCATGCAATTATTTTAGGTGGTGCCGCTTTTCTACACTTTATGGTGTTTTAAATTTTAGATGTAGCAGCACTTTTTTTTTTTTTAGGTTATTCTGCTTTTTGACAGTTTAGGACAATTTAATTTTAGGCATTGTTGTATGGAGATAAATTAGTGTCAAAAGTAGTTGCGTTAATGTAAGCGGATGTGTTTTAATAAAGCTACTGTTATAAGTTAGAAATTTCTTTTTTCCCAATAACAGTAAATCTGGTAAGAATCAGATGTCCCAGCTTTTCACTAACCTTGAACGCAGCATCACCTTGGTGATTTTTTTATCGGTGAAAAAGTCTCAAGTCTCATTCAAAGACAAACAATTCGTAGCTCGTTATGACCGATTCGCCCACAGCAGGTGTATTTGAATGTGCAGATTATTGCATGTGCAAGTTGAAATGTGTGCATTTGAAAAACGGTTTATGCGTTTGTGGATCTTATTGTACACGCATGTCGTGAGAAACAATAAATCAATGAGTATAAGCATAATAAATGAAAATTATCGACCTTGTTTTCATTTATCGGCTTTATCATTTCTTCATGTCTCTCTCATTCCACTGAAGACACCGGATGAGAAAAGGCTCAACTCCGGTGCTCTTCACTGACCCCTCCCTTTCTCTCTTCTATTTAAAATCTGTTTTAACCTCCGTCTTGTCGAAAGCTCACGGTAGCAACCCGTGCCTTTGTGTAAAAAGTTTTTTCTCTGCAAAAAAAAAAAAAGCTGAGAACTTGTTTGCTGATTTTCTTTTAAACGCTTTGTGTGAAAAATGCTATGCTAAAGATCTCAAACCACACCGAGCGTCCGCCATTTTGAGAACTGAAGAGAGACCGCCCATGTCACGTCAAGGGGCCTCCCTCCCATTTTTCTTAAAGACGCACTGATCACTCCCTCACTATCCATCCTTTGGCTCAAACAATCTTATACTGCCATCCAGTGGTCGATAAAAGGTACTACATGCCAAACAAATAAACATTTCTTCGTAAATTTGACAATAATTACTGATTATTAAATTTTTGACTGATTTTTTTTATTCTTGTTTGTTTTTAACTTCTGTACTGTGCAGCACTTTGTGCACCTTTTGGCTGCTGGAAAGGGCTCTATAAATAAAGTTTGATTGATTGATTGAAATTTCAAACAATATTATCGCAATAATTTTTGAGACAATTAATCGCCAAGGAAAATTTATGGTGACAGGCCTACATACCAATCTTGTTGTACGCATGTGACTATTTTTAGACAGATTTGTCTCCATAGAGTAACTTTCCCTGCATTTACAGTAACGCATTTGATGCTGCACGGCTTTTCTATAATTTACAGTAATGCATTGCTTTTCTACAGTTTACAGGAAATAATTTTAAGTGGCGCAGCTTTTTTAGCATTTACGATAATTCCCCGGCCTACGGTTTTACTCTGCCTCTCCGCAGAGACTAGCTGCCAGTCCACGGAGAGATGCAGCTCTGAATAAACAATATGTTGAGAGAAGAAAACTAGCATGGGTGTTACTAAATGATTGTTCTGAACCGTTTCGTTACAGAACTTTAATTAAAGATCACAGATGTAGAATTACACACGCATATCTGATGAACTGGTTGCTTTGCTTCAAGGTAAATACTGTTTTTATCTTTTAATATCAAGTGACATTTTATTCTTGGAGCAATAAAAATGTGCAGTGTTACAAACTTCAGATGTAAGCTGCTGTTTCAAAATACGTTTTACTCAAACGGTTCAAATAGAAGCCGATAAGCATTTGATGCTTATCGTGTTCAGTCCAACAAGATTTTTATCTCTGATGTATGTTTTTATCCTTTTTGTAAAGCGCCGGGAAATGATTTGCAGAGGCAGAAAATAAAACTGAATTCTTCTGTTGGTTTTACCCCGAGACCACCGTCTTTGTTTACTTGTACTGATGGACTTGTGACCAGTCCAGGGTGAGCCCCGCCTGCCCCACAGTGACCGCTGGAGATAAGCATCAGCTGCACCACCACCCGGAAATGGAAACAAAAGAGGCAATAAATGGATGTATGGGAGGACCATTCTCCTCGCTGTCCCAGATGAGCTCCGGTTAATGATTTTAACCGCGCGCTGGTTGTTATCAAGTCTGTCGAGGCACCAGCTGGGCTCGGTTTCCCGAATTATTTTTCCATAAAGTTTACATCAGTGGGAGCTCAGTGGCAATTAATTAAGTTGTGAAGGAGGGAAACTTGCGTGGTGCCACTTGAATTAAACCAGTACAGTAAACACTTGATTCTCGACATCGGAAGCGTTTTTGACGTTTGTTTCCTTTTGTCAAAAGTCTGTTTGCTGGGAGGATTTTTGTCTTCTTGGTTTGTTAGAAACACAAAAGTCCAGAATGGTTAAAAATAAATTCAAATGCAATAAATAATTAATGGTGTCGATGTCTTTACGAGTTCAGCAGTCGTAAACGTCCATCTATCCAGTTTTGCCATGCGCCTGTAGAAGAGACGTTCCTCTACCTCAGCAAAACTCTCCAGCTCCTCCCGGGGGACTTCAAGGTGTTTCCAGGCTGTCAAAGACCCATAACAAGACAAGTTTGGGTCTTCCTCACGGTCTTCTCCCAGGTGGAGGTGCCCAGCAGGCCTCCTAACCAGATGTCTGAACCACCTCCCGTGAGGATGAGCTGTTAAGGCTGAGCCTAGTCACCCTACAGAGGAACTCCACTTCAGCTGCTTGCATCCAGAATCTCGTTCTTCGGGTCATGATTCAAATGTCATGATGGTAGAAATGTAGATGCATCACTAAAATGAGATTTTCCTTTCAGCCCAGCGATTTTCACCTTGACAAACCGGAGCAACACCCTCATTACTGCAAATAAAGCCCCGATCTGTCCATGTTCCGCTCCATTCTTCTGTCACTCATGAAGAAAACCGTTCCTAGGAATGAAAAACCATTTTTTATTAACAAAGGTAAAGTTGCTGTGCGTCATCCATCTTCTGGAAAGGCGGAGCCTGAAAGAACGACAGGAAGTCGCCTCCACCTGCGAGGAGAAAAGTCGAGTCCCAAGCTGTGCCCATCCCTGGCGTCATAAACTTGTTCTGTCCAACCACTTAAATATTACCCCATTTTCTTGGTAAATATTTGAATAAATGATTGGATTCTTTTATAGAATAGTTTGTTGTAACAAATGAAAGAGATGACGCATCTTAAGTTTATATAGCTTTAAATGGTAATCACCTTTTTCCCCCCATTTTGTGTCTATAAGTAGATTAATTTAGGACATAAATTAAAAAATCTTACCATGAAACTTAAAACAAAAGGCAAAATAATGTATTTTAAAAATTTTATGCATTTCCTGTACGTAATGTTATTTGTTTAGTTCAAAACATCAGTTAGAGTTGGATGCGACATGTTTAGGAGTTCAAAGTCAGAGTTTATGACTTCAGTGTGACCTGAAAATTGCTGTTCTTTACTCGGAGCCGGCGCCGAGGCTCTACAGCGAGCGCATTTAATGGATTCAGTCGACAAAAGATTGTGGCAGTCACCTTGATTCAAAGAAAAGATACCTAATGTTTGTGCTCTGAGCACTGAGGTGCCTACAGAGTGGAAACCTCTTTATTTTTCCGGTTTCCTCTCCTTTTTTTCAGTCCGTCCCATTTTCTCCTCTAAGTGCACATCAAACCGAGGCGCACGTACGGTTTGCATTGTGATGGAAAGTGCGCGTTTGAATATATAGTACAAAAAAAAAAGGCTGAAA